ATGGGAGTGGGCAGTTTGCTGTTTCCTTCAGGGTGAGCCCCGCTGGGCCCCCAAAAGGAATATGACACCATCACCCGTCAACCAGCCACAGCCACAGCCACAGCCACAGCGTGGGAGGGACCAGGACTGAGGCCTGCGCTGGCCTCTCTGAAGGCCGCGCTGGGACCCAGGAAAGCCCACCCGGAGGAGCTTGGGGAGGTTTGGTTCTGGCCAGTCTTCCCTGCACCGAGACAAGGACGGGCACCATAGCAGCACCTACTATGTGCCAGTCACCTAACACCTACTATGTGCCAGTCACCTTCCCTTGCACCCTCCCTGTCCCGGCCTCCCTCCTGGTCCCCCAGGCCCACTGGCCCTCGCTGTCCCTCACACACTTCAGGATCCTTCCCAGCTCTGAGCCTGTGCCTTTATAGGACCTTCGACCCCAACCCTCCCGCCCCCCAGGGCCTCCCAGGCGCTGCCCCGGCTGCATCCTCCCCGAGAGGTCTCCCCCGGTCCCCCACTCCGCAGCCTTCTCCCCCGGGGCCACGGTACCCACCCCCTTCCTCGAGTGCCCCTCGGCTCCGGGGGTTCTTGTCGGCGGGCGTGTGTATGGGCCACGTCCGCCCGCTAGAGGGGCAGCTCCGTGAGAGCAGAGACCTGGCCCCTTCGTGTTCGCGGCGGGATCCCCGGGGCCCGGGACAGAGCTCAGCACAATAAATGCGTCTTGAATGAATGACTGAAAGGCTCTTGTTCCTCCTTCAGGCCGCCCCTGGTTCCCCACATGAAAGCTGGCCCTCCCCTCCCTCCGTCACCCTCCACAGCCCAGTCCCTCCGCGTTATCATCGCCGGCTCCAGCCGTCTCCCTCAGATGCCCATGGCCCGCCTTATCTTTTCCCAGTGCCTGATGCCCTCAGAATATTTGTAGAAGGAAAGATATTCTATTTTTTTAAATGGTAACAGTTCTAGCCCAGCCAGTGTGGCTCAGTGGTCGACCTCTGAACCAGGAGGTCACTGGTTCGATTCCTGGTCAGGGCACAGGCCCGGGTTACGGGCTCCATCCCCAGTGTGGGGTGTGCAGGAGGCAGCTGATCCATGATTGTCTCACATCATTGATGTTTCCGTCTCTCTCTCCCCTTCTGAATTAAAAAATGAAAATGACAGTTTTAGACACACACACAAATCTCCTCTTGGCCAGGAAAGTACATTTTTGACATATGTCTAGGTTCGTGTAATCAGAATATCTGAGACCCATTATAAAAACTAGAGGTCCGGTGCACAAATTCGTGCACCAGTGGGGTCCCTCGGCCTGGCCTGTGGGATTGGGCCGAAACTGGCTCTCTGACACCCCCCGAAGGGTCCCGGATTGCAAGAGGGTGCAGGCCAGGCCGAGGGACCCCCTGGCGCACAATTGGGGCTGGGGAGGGACCGTGTGAGGGCTCCAGGGCGAGTTCGGCCCATCTCGCTCAGTCCCGATCAGCTGGACTCCAGCAGCAAGCTAACCTACAGGTTGGAGCGTCTGCCCCCTGGTGGTCAGTGCACATCATAGCGAGCGGTTGAGCGGCCTTAGCATATCATTAGCATATCACGCTTTGATTGGTTGACAGATGACTGGACACTTAGCATATTAGGCTTTTATTATATAGGACTAGAGGCCCAGTGCACAAAATTCGTGCACTGGGAGGGAAGTGTCCCCAGCCCAGCCTGCACCCTCTCCAATCCCGGACCCCTCAGGGGATGTCCAACTGCCGGTTTAAGCCCGATCGGACATCCCTCTCACAATCCGGGACCACTGGCTCCTAACTGCTCCCCTGCCTGCCTGCCTGATCTCCCCTAACTGCCCCTCCCGCTGGCCTGGTCGCCCCACGCAGCCTGCTGCTCAGTCCTTTGGTCACCCCTCACTGATCCCCCCTGCCAGCCTGGTCGCCCCCACACAGCCTATTCAATCGTCCACCCCCTGCCCCCAGCAGCCACCCATCTTTCCCGATACTCGGTCTAGTCTAGCCGGGAACGCCGTTCACACACATCGCACTGTATGGGACCTCCGCTCACTCACATGATGATGCCTTTGAGACCGGATCCAAGTCGCCGAGGTCACCGACCGGTGGTTCCTCGGTCACGTGGGTGTTGAACACGTTTAGGCTGGGACCAGTTTGGGGCCATCGTGCACAGAGCTGCTCCGTGAACAGCAGTTTTCATTTCTCCGGATGAAGACTCGGTAGCCGCGTTCGACGGGGAGGGTACGTGTGACTGAGGTGAGACCGTCACCCTGCTCGCAGGAGGGGCTGTGACGTCTCGCACTCCCACCGGCCAGATAGGAGGGCCCCGCTGCTCTGTGTGCTCGCCGGCACTTGGGACTGGCTGTGCTCTCTGCTGTAGCCAGCACCGTGCCTGTGAAGGCGAACCTCTGCCTGGTTTCAGTTTGCTTTTCTCTAGTCTCGTGGCGACTGACGTGGAACATCTGTTTCCTGTGGTTTTTTTATTTTTTTTCCTTCTGAATATCTTCTTTGGAGGAGTATCTATTTGACTGCTTTGCTCATTTAATAATTATTTTTTTTAAATATATTTTTATTGCCGAACCGGTATATTAAGCCCTAGGAAGGTTGAGAACCACTGCCTTAGAGTCTTGGTCAAAGCATTCGTTCTTTGTACTTCATTTCCACTTATAAGGTATGGAGTAAATTATTATTACTTTTTAAATATATTTTTATTGATTTCAAAGAGGAAGGGAGAAGGAGAGAGAGATAGAAACATCAATGATGAGAGAGAATCACTTATCGGCTGCCTCCTGCATGCCCCGCACTGGGGATCGAGCCCGAAACCCGGGCATATGCCCTTGACCGGAATTGAACCTGGGACCCTTAAGTCCACAGCAACGCTCTATATGCACTGAGCCAAACCAGCCAGGGCTTAATTATTGTTTCGAAATACATTTTTGTTGATTTCAGAGAGGAAGGGAGGAGAGTCATTGATCAGCTGCCTCCTGCACGCCCCCTACTGGAAATTGAGCGCGCAACCCGGGCATGTGATGGGTCCCTGATCAACCAGTGAGCCACGCCGGTATTTTTCCTTCTTTCGTCTCACTTCCTAAGACCAGGCATTTCAAACACCCTCAACCTCATAGCGAACCTCCAGGAACCCCCCATTCGGCTCCCCACGAACCCGACCTCGGCTGCCTCGGATCCCCCGCCTCGCGCGCGCGAACGGATCCCCAAAACCAAGTAGCCCATCAGTGGTTCTCAACCTTCCTGACGCCGCGGCCCTTTCACACAGCTCCTCATGCTGTGGGGACCCCCAACCATAACATTATTTCCGTGGCTACTTCATCGCTGTCATGTTGCTACTGTGATGCATCGTCATGGAAATACCTGATCTGCAGGCTGGATTTAAAGGGGTCGCGACCCACAGGTTGAGAACCGCTGAGCGGGCTCGCACCTCCAACGCCCAACAGTGACTTCATCGCGCCAAGACCCCGCGGCCCCCTTCCGAGGTGCGTGAGGGGCCCGGGGGGCGCGGGTGGAGGACGGG